GAAAGGGGTTAAAGTACAGCAAATTGTGTCTCACCTTAGTCTCCATTTCTTTTCTTTTTTTCAGAAAAAGAATAAAAAAGAATAAAAAGAAAATCAGAAGCTGAAGAACGTACCTGAACCGTGTGTGCTTGTGTGTGTCACTGTGTGTGTGACACAAAGGACCCAAAAAAACAATCATTGGTGTGTCATTAAAATAGATCAGATTGTGACATATTTTTTGCTGGTGATTTGCAATGCATGTTTCTGTTGGATGCGACGTGTGTCCTAAATAGGAAAACCCAATTTACAACACTTTGCAGAAATGTCACAATTCTAATTGAAAAGATTGCATATATTTTGGCCACATAGAACAAGCGCATAAGTGCGCCAAGCAGTAAACTATGATGAAGGATATAAAGATCAAATAGATCATCTGTCACAACGTGCAACTTTATTGTGACAGATTAAAACATACATTTCCTGCTGCAATTTGTCACTCTGGACCATCAACAGTTTATCGGCCTGATTGCATGTGTGCGAGACACAGAGGACCCCTTAAACTTTTGGTGGCATGGCGTGAGAAATTACGTCAGGGAGATTTTGTGCAAAATTGTCACAAAGGTGTTACAAATTGTCACAAATGATCTATTATAGAATAATAGATCATTTGTGATCTAATAATAGATCATTGATCTGAGCGGCGCCATTGATCTGGCGCCGCTCAGATCAATGTAGAAACAAGATTGAACTCGATGGACATGTGTCTTTTTTTCAACCTAACTATGCAACTATATAACTAAGATGTCCACCAGCACACAGAAGATATGTGTCAAAGCAAACGTCTTTTGTTGACGGATATTGTCACAAAGATGGCAACGTTGCAGGGCCACGCATTGTCCCTTCATCAGGCTGAGTATGACAGTAATGCAGTAACTGACACCTTTACGTACAAAAATCACATGTGAAGAAAACCAGTGCAACCAGTTCACATGTGGTTTTTGTACATACATGTGATAGTTACTGCATTATTGTGATACTGAGCCTGATGAAGGGACAATGCGTGGCCCCGAAACGTTGCCATCTTTGTAACAATATGCGTCAATAAAAGACGTTTGCTTTGACACATATCTTCTGTGTGCTGGTGACATCTTGTTTCTACATTGATCTGAGCGGCGCCATCCGCAGTCATTTCAGGACCCAACACAATGGGGGTCTTCGGTAAGAAGTATGGCGAGATACCACTTGGAAATGGTCCAATATGCTGCAGTGACCATAGTTTATAAGCAGTGCTGCACCACCTACTGCTTGCCGCACTAACGCGCCAAAAAATGTGCAATCATTTCCATTATATGTCATACAAATTGCAACATTTCTGGGAAGTGTTGCAAAAAGGGATTTTCCTATTTCAGACGCAGTTGTCACATTCAACAGGAACATGATTTCCAAATCATTTTTTACTTGTCACCCATGGTAACAATGGGGCAATCTGCACTATTCTAATTATCGGGCCCAGAGTGTGTATGGTTGCATGTTTATAGGTTTATAGGTATTTGCTATTGGCAGCCCCTGAAATGTTTCTACTTGTTTTCCATGTAGGAGTCCATTTGTATAACACTGGAAATGCTCACGCAGCGCAGTGTAATCTTTCCTGTGCTGGGCTGTATTAGATATTGCAGAAGAGTACCACTCATGACCAGCAGGGGGTGATATAGATGTGTTTCTGGTAAACCGGTCATGGAGGTGGCCATTGCTGACCTCGTCATTTGGTGGCCATTGCTGACCTCGCCATATGGTGGCCATTGCTGACCTCGCCATATGTGGGTTATTGCTGACCTCGCCATATGTGGGTTATTGCTGACCTCGCCATATGTGGGCTATTGCTGACCTCGCCATATGTGGGCTATTGCTGACCTCGCCATTTGGTGGCCATTGCTGACCTCACCATATGGGGGCTATTGCTGACCTCGACATTTGGTGGCCATTGCTGACCTCACCAAATGGGGGCTATTGCCGAGCTCACTATTTGGTGGGCCATTGCTGACCTTGCCATTTGGTGGCCATTGCTGACCTCGCTATTTGGTAGCGATTGCTGACCGCGCTATTTGGTAGCGATTGCTGACCTCGCCATTTGGTGGCCATTGCTGACCTGGTCATTTGGAAATGCTCTTTGCCTGACTGTCAAGTTGACCACAGGCTTTAGTACTTTGACTCATTGACCTGGGACAAATAAGAGGATCAGGACTTCTGATGTTCTCCAACCCTCCTATTTGTTCCATGACTCCTATTTGTTCAATTACATGAAGTTATTGAGGCCAAGGGCTCAGCACAACCGCCAGGCAACTCAGAGGAGGGTCAGCAGTGGCAGGCTGTGTGTTTCACTTAACTTAACTTTTGATTTGATCAAATTTTAAGTGAACTTGTGCTTTGCTCGTGCAGCTCACCCACCCGGAGAGAAGAGAGGAAACCCTATGTGAGATACATGTCATGACTCAAGCTGGCCATACACAGCTAGATTTTTGGCTATGGAAGAATCTCCATTGCTAGCTTTTGAATTCAGCAGCCCGGCACCCGTGGCTTCCAGATGTCCTGAACAGGGGCTCATCTGATAGGGTGCATTAAATAAATCTCCACCCAGATTTTTTAATCTTTTACCAACCTGGTAGGTGCTTGCAGAGCCACCCATGGCTTGAATCTCAGCATGAACTGGCCCAAATTTGAGCCGTCTATAGCCAGCTTATACAGAGGTGAAGACTCTCCCAGCACCCCTTGTTGACGTTGCCTGAGTGACCAATTACCAAGCAACAGTGCTGTCAAATTGGAGGATAGGTAGTGAGTCACGTGCTCCCCCATGCCATGGAATACTGGGTAACTTCTTTGCTCCCCGCAGCAGAACGGATTGATAAAATGACAAAGGAAAGATGTGCATGTGCTGCTGCAGAGGGTAAACCTGTTGCATTGCCCTCCATGAGCGAAGCATGAGTCCATATTAAGGACCACAAATAATAGCTCTCACAAGCTGGGTCTTCGTGCCCCACAATGAAGATCCTCTCCTATTATTGTTGTTACTTCAGTGTTCACTTAAAGTGTAACCAAACTCAAGAGCAAAAATGTAATACACCGCAGTCCTTAGATGTGGTGGCTGCATTAGTTTTTATATTTTAGGCTAAGAACATTTTTAACAAATATGGAACTTGCCAGAAATCCAGTATCCCTGTCACTTCCTGTGAGCTGAAGTGGAATCAAAAACAATGTCATCTTTCTTTTGTATACTACTAATCCCACCCTCCTTCCCCTCCTTGTAATGGAGATTAACAAAGGCAGGCATGTTTGAAGTCCAGCTTGGGTGGCATCTATGGTTCCCTCCATAGATACAGTGCAGGAGTCAGCATAGCCATCCATGGACAGGAAGTGTGTTATACACAGGATTAGCAGGTGAAAATAAAGAAAGCTGATGCAGCCACCTCATCTAAGGACTTGGTTTAGATACACTTTAAGTCTACACATGAACGTTTGTTTGCACTATAGCCATGGTCAGCATAAAGAGGCTGAGAGCTGAACTCATCACCCACCAGCTATTGATCACTGTCATTAAGCATGCTATGAGTCACTGGATGAAGTCCATTGATTTGATACATCAATCAGCCACCAATCCACAGTCCCTTGGCAGTCCACACCCTGCTGGCCCACGGTCACTAGATGGCATACTGTATATAAATTACAATTACCCTCTTGATTGATTTGTGTTTATCATCAGAATATAAGCAACACAAACCAGATCATTCTGATATATCATCACCGCATTTTTAAAGGGTCATTACCAACACCAAAGGGTTGCTCCGGTGAACCACTGCTTCAATGGGCACGGAAATCCAGGGAACACTTTGCCAAACATTAGTTAGAACTTAGGGAACAATGAACCCCTGCATACCTAAAATGATGAGGGATGTGAAAGCTGAATCAAAGAATAGAGAATGTGCGGCCTACGCCAACCAATCATACTCTATGTGTCTGTCTCATTCATCCAGGTCATGGTATACGGGTAGAAAATAAATCAAAGCAACTGGACTTGCTGTATTTTTCTTGAAGACATTTCACTGGTCATCCGAACAGTTTCCTCAATTCAGAGTGACTTGTACAAGAATTATCTGGGAATAAATACCTTAACACCTTACCTCCACGAGGTCTCTGACCCCATGCTGGTTATGATAAACAGATTATGTTGATTGGAGCAACAACATTCATTACATTAATTCCCAGAGAACTCTTGTACAAGTAATTCTGAGTTGAGAAAGCTGGTCAAATGACCAATGAAACGTCCTCAAGAAAATACAGCAAGTCCATTGTCTATAGCTATACAATAATTTTCTACTCAAAATGTGACTTGAATCTGATTGCTACGGGAAATCAAATTCCCTTTCTTTTGCTAGTTGTGGTTAAAAAGTTCTTTTTTGGGATGCTGATGGATGAAAACTCCTAAAATCAAGACAAAATGGGAGATTTAAGAATCTTTTAGCGTACATGCTTAAAAACTTTACACAGTTTGCTAATTTATGTACAAAGAACTTGCATTTGCTATTGTAGATGATCGGTGTCTGGGGGGTAGTTAGAAAATCTACGCTTTGGGGTTGGTGGGTAATGTAGGGGTCTGATCATAATTTAATTATGATAAACCTTTCGATTCCCCGAGTATAGAAGCATAAGGGTACCCTCATAAACTGCTCCACCAGCTATTTTAAACGCACTTTTCCTAAAGCATGTCAAGTAAACTGATTATTTTTGTTCAGGTGAGCTGTTTATACACGGGATAGTTTATATTTTGTAGCAGAGGCTTCTGGACACACAGGAAGAGGAAAAGGTTGCAATAAAAATAGAAACTGCTATCGTAAATAACGAGCTTGCCTGATGCACGTCTGGGCAATGTAAACAAAAAAAAGAAAAATTGAGGAAAAAAATGCCTGAAAATGAAAATGTGACATTGTTATGCAAACAAAAGCAATAAATTACACAGAATTACAGAACTGCAATCTGTATACAGTTGTTATCTAAGGGCTTATATAGAGGCTTTATAGACATGAGATGAGGGTAAGAGAGGAAAGGCCAATCCACCGGTGTGTCCAGTGTGTGTGTATATATTGATATAACTCTTAATACAGTAATATATATATATATATATATATATATA